TAATTGTGTAATTAAGTTGCTGACATAAGCAAGTATGCAATTTCACATTAAGGTGAGGATCTGTAAAGGCATTCATTTGCATAATTTAATTTTCTGCACAGAAGATATTGAAAATCAATAGCATGATTCATAGGCATACCATATCATTGCCACGCCGCCTTTGGTTGTCTGTTTGAGCTTAGAAGAGTACAAAGAGTATTAAAATTGATTAAATTTTGGTGTGCTGACTCTGTATCTTTACTTGGGAACCACAGACTGTTTCTATTTGCAAATCACTGCTCCTTGCCAATAAAATATTAAGTTGTTTAATATACTCTATATATACTTTTTGACTGCTGTTCAAATAATAGTTTTAAAACTTGATTTTTAAAAAAGATCACCTCATCATCGATTAAAATACATTTGAGGAGAGGACTTAAAATGTTGTCTTAGTTTAAATGATGTGAGTGCCAGTAAGAATGATAATTACTCCTCAGACATTTTTGTTGTGTGAACATCATAGAGCGTACTTAACAAACCTAGATGGAATAGCCAGCCCACTACACACCTAGACCATATGGTGTAGCCTAATGCTGCTAGGTTACAAACCTGTACAACATGTTACTGTCCTGGATACTGTAGGTAATTGTAGCACAATGGTAAGTATCTGTGTATGTAAACAAACATATCGGAACACATAAAAGGTACCGTAGACCAGGCGTGGTGGGTCACGCCTGTAATCCCAGCACTTTGTGGGGCCGAGGAGGGCGGATCACAAGGTCAGGAGTTCAAGATCAGCCTGACCAATATAGTGAAATCCTGTCTCTACTAAAAATAAAAAAATTAGCTGGGCATGGTGGTGCGCAACTGTGATCCCAGCTACTCGGGAGGCTGAGGCAGGAGAATTTTCTGGCTTGAACCTGGGAGGCAGAGGTGGTGAGCTGAGATCCTGCTACTGCATTCCAGCCTGGATGACAAAGTGAGACACTGTCTGGAAAAAAAAAAAAAAGTACACTAGAAAATACCTTTATACTCTTATGGGACCAGTATCATATATGCAGTTTTTCATTGACTGAAATTTTATCACGTGGCACATGACTTTACTTGATTATGTTCTTACAGTTAGGGGAGGGGGAGAGGTCACACATTATTGACATAGATGGAATAAAAAGGAAAAAATATATAGTCACCTTTAGTGAGTAGTTAAAAAATAAAATATGGTGCGAGGGTTAAAAGTCCTGCCCTGTTCATTTCTGAACAATTGCCTCCCTAAAGAATTCATTGTCACTCAGGGCCATCTCCTTTTTGCTTCATGTATTAAGTGCTATTTCTGATAGGTGGGCAGTGGCTAGAGAGTCAGTGAGGTTCTGGGTGGTGGTTCTGCCTGTGGCTTATGTAAACACACACATAACATGCATAGATAACACATTTTCTTACCATCACTACCCTTTAGAACACAGAAACCATCAGCTTTTTTTATCTTTTATGTGTTCATTCAATCCCTCACTTTTTTTTTTTGGAGATGGAGTCTTGCTCTTTCGCCAGGCTTGAATGCAGTGGCACGATCTCGGCTCACTGCAACCTCCGCCTCCTGGGTTCAAGCGATTGTCCTGCCTCAGCCTCCCGAGTAGCTGGGACTACAGGCGCGCCACCATGTCCAGCTAATTTTTGTATTTTTAGTAGAGACGAGGTTTCACCATGTTGGGCAGGATGGTCTCGATCTCTTGACCTCATGATCCGCCCACCTCGGCCTCCCACAGTGCTGGGATTACAGGCATGAGCCTCGCGCCTGGCTGCCATTCCCTCGCTGTTGATGAACACATACCATGGGCTGAGTTCCATTGTGAGTAGTAGGTTGACAGTAATAGTTCAGGAATATGCCTGTGCCCTATTTCCAGGGAGCTTAGAGCCCTTCATACGCCATGCAGCATGCCCTTGAGAAGCCTGTTTTCCTTACCATTCTGACCTTGCTGTGGAAAACCCACATTGTACCTCAATACTTTGGGTAGTGTAAGGAAGACAATATTAACCTAACTTCCTTGGGATGCTCTGTCCCTTCTGTTACTTCTTGTATGTAGCAGAACTGTACCTTTTACTTCTGTCTTAAATGAATTGCCTTTAGACAGGCAGTCCTGCTGCTCAAGTCCAATTCCTTATACCACAGTGTGATGTATATGTGTGTCTGGGGTGAAGTCCAAAGCATAGGGTTGGTTTGTTTTAAAGTAGCCCAGGGTTAAGAGTCAGAGCTCTAATACAACAATGGCCTTTTATGGATAGAGAAATTGATGACCAGGAGTTCAAGTGATGGTTTCAAGCACACCATTGGTGTCATTTGAGGATCTTTTTTTGGTACAAAAGACAGGAAAATGTGCTTTAGCAGGTAAATCTGGTCCCTGTAACTACAGACCCTAAGAGAGGGCTAGCTTCAAATCAGCTTTGTCTAGGGTTTAAATATTTTATTTTAGTTATTTTATGTAACTTTTTTTTGTTTTGTTTTGTTTTTGAGACAGGGTCTCACTCTGTTGCCCAGGCTGGAGTGGAGTGGCACAGTCACGGCTCACTTGAGCCTCCCTGGGTCACGCTGTTGTCCTACCTTAACCAGCCAAGTAGCTGGAACTACAGACGTGTGCCACCACACATGCTATTTTTTTTTATTTTTTGTAGTGACAGGGTTTAAATTTTGTCAACAGAATTGATTTTTTGGTCGTCCTGGCTTGGTTCTATTTTTAAGGTCCTCTGTTAATCCCTTACTTGGTCGTCAACCACCCCCGCTGAGGCTTCCACCTTGTCTGATACCTTCAGGAAGAAAGAAGAATCTCTGTCATTGGCCAGTGTGCCCATACCTGAAGGCATCACTGGGGCCACGAGAATGGTTGAAAGTAATTGACTGGCTTAAAGTGAACAAGGCTCACCCCTAGAGCTAACATTGGTGGTGACAGGGATTAGCTGTCCAACGTGTGACACACAGCTAGCTAGAGTGGGGATATGATTACTACAAAACAGATCATCTACAGCAAATTTCCACTATGTTGTCAGGCACTGAAAAGCACTAGGGGTGGGTGCAGCGGCTCATGCCTGCCATCCCAACACTTTGGGACGACCAAGTGAGAAGATTGCATGAGCCTGGGAGTTTGAGATCAGCCTGGGCAACCCAGGGAGACCCTGTCTCTACAAAAATAAAAACTCAGCTGAGCATGGTGGTGTGTGCTTATGGTCCCAGCCAGTCAAGAGGCTACATTGGGAGGATTGCTTAAGCCTGGGGGTTAAGGCTGCAGTCAACCATGATCTTGCTGCTGTACTCCAGCCTGTTTGACAGAGCAAGACCCTGTTTCAAAAAACAAAAACAAAAACAAAAGCAGTATATGCCCAATGCTGAGTTAGGTGCTCTGCTCATCATAGCTTGTGTTATCTTTATAACAGTCTTAGAAGGCTGGTATTTTTAGGTTCATTTTACAGTCAAGGAAATTGAGGCTCAACCACTTACCCTAATGGAAGCCACATTTATTACTAACATAGTCAAGACATGTTTTACTCACGGTTTTGAGGGACAGAGGAAGGATTAATGGGGAGTAATTATTTGTAGAATGGTTTGGATGGAAGGCATCTAAACCTTCCTTGGACTTGAAAAATGAGTGGAAGCTTAGAATTTGACACGAATTCTTTGAGGAGCAATGAGCAGACATAAACGACATCAGGTTTACTTTTTAGGTGTGTATTGAGAATTTATAGGATTCTTCCCTCTAAAGGGCTCATCTCTGTGGAATACCTTTGTTCAAGCATTACATCTTTTAATGCTAGTCTTTTTAATTGAAGTGTAAGCATAAAGTACTTTACAGGTTTCTTAATTTTTCTTCATGACTTTCACATTGTCAGAAAGGCTAATGCTGTCATGGCGATATTATTCCATTGGCTAATTTGGAATACAGAATGTGTTGTATTTTCCTGGTCCCATCATTGTCTTCAATTGAATATACAGCTTCCCAAAACTTTCTTAAACATTTTTTTTTTGGTCTTTGAAAGCACGCTTGCTTTTGTTTAGGTGCATTTAAATGTTATCATAGTCAGCTGGGGTATATTGTTTGCATATAATTCCATTTCATTTTGGATTTTGGGCACCTGTGATATTTGTCGTCTTACCCATCAGTGTTTTCAGGTGTGGGCTCACAACACAAGAAATCCGCATCCACGTGGTAGCTGGGAAGAGAGGGCTTGACGAACACTATAGCAGGCAGATGAAGCTCTCCTGTGAGAGTAGTAGTTTTGCTGTTGCTTGGCGGATTGAACTGATTTTGAGATTTCAAATATACATCACTAATCAGTGTTTCTTTTCTGGGCATTGTGGGCCTTGGAGGCTTTCTTGTTTCGTATCTTCTGGCACCACAGGTGACTGTTAGTGGCCGGAAGGATGTGGAAGACTGGTACTAATCACAAGGGGTCACCTAGGTTTCGGATTGTGCTGTGTTTGGGTGGCAGAAGCCCTGGCTTTGATGCAGCGATGCTTGAGTCTGGTTTTCTCATCTACTGCATACCTACTGTGTGACCTGGGGCCACTTACTTCGTGCCTCTGCTCCTTAGTTTCTCCATCTGTAAAAGAGGCAGAATGACCCCGGCTCTGTAAAGATCAAATGGGGCCCGAGGGTCTTTACACACAGGTTATAAACTTATACATGCAGTTGGAACCGAAGTCTACCGTTAGTTGTATGTGTGACCTTGGTCAAGTTCAAGTTCTTTCCATTGTTGAAGCTTCAGTTTGCTTATCCATAAAAGGGCTCCATTATTGGAACCACTGTACTGCTTCGTGGTGTTTTGCAGATCAAAGATAATGTATATAAAGTGCGTAGTGTACTGCACTTCTTGGCACAAAGTAAAGGTTCCTCGTCAATGATTCCTAATATGTATAATAATTGTCTGGATTTTCCTATGGTTTTGTTTTTTTGTAAAATAAGTTGGTTCTAGTCAGTCATCCTAAGGACTATGATTCTACTCAGTCACCCAATGGTGTTCATTTGACCCCCTTCCTGTGTCCAGTGGGGTGCTGCCTTTGTCTCATTGCGGGTCTCCCTCTCTTCCAGCGTTGACAGAAGGCTACGTCGGGGCCCTGCACGAGAATAGACACGGCAGCGCGGTGCAGATCCGCAGACGCAAGGCTTCAGGCGACCCGTACTGGGCCTACTCTGGTAAGTCCAGTTGCTCTGATGGAGGTCACACAGGCCAGTTAACATCCCATGCAACTCACTTGAAAGCACACTTTGAATCACTTTTGCGCCTGAGTTCTGTTTGCTCAAATCTTTCGTAGTTCACTAAAAGTTGAAATATTCGAGCCTGTTTTCCCTCAAGGTTATAAGTACCTTAATTTATCTCTACCACCTGTTTCCTCAACCTGTTTTCCCCTCAATTTGCATTTATTTCTGAACTTTACTGTTAATGAGTTATTGTACCAAACTTATAATTTTCTAAAAGACGTAGTCTTGTCTTTTCTGTTTTTTCAGGGGCTGTGATTTCAGAGAGCAGAAAATATATGGCTAGTCTTGAGCTGCTAAATGTCTGCTAAACATTACAAACATCAGATATCATAATGCTCTATTAGGCTCTAAGCCAAGAAATGCAACTTTATTTTTAAATCACATCTTGTTCTTTGAATACATTTTAGCTGTCTACTCGATGGTAATCTGCAGTCCTTTTCATTTTTATTTTACTTTTACCCTTTGAGCCAGTGAAGGGAAAGAGCATTGTTCTAACTATGTTGAATGTTACATTGGAAATAATTTTCTTACATTTTAAGGGAACAAAGATGAAGACCTAAAACTAGGTACAGACTTTTCTGGATTAGGCTTCCCACAACTCCCAAAATATGAGAGGTGGATTGTTACTTCTAGAAGAGATTTTTGATGCTCAAAAATGTATGGAAAATGTATTACAGCTAATTAAGGAGGAATGCTTGAGTAAGATAGACCACTTTGGAAATTACTTTGGCACTGAATAATTCAAACTCCTTGTGTGAAAGAGCTTGGAGGCATGGAGTATTAGTCTTAATAATAAATCTATGTATTATGCAATGTTGTTGCATATAGAACTGAAAGTATTCTTTTTCATAATGATACTCGGGTTTAAATCCTCAGTTTCTCCCAGCAAATCCTGTTAAATTTATGTCAGTGTAAAATTTATAGGTCTGATCTTTAATTACACCTTATCTATTGGCTTTTTGCATCGTTTTGTCTATTGATAAATCTCCTGCCCCTGCAGGGAGAATAGCCTATCTGTTTTGTTTTGCAGTGAACAGATAGTGATTCTGAAGTCTTCCATCACACACAGTACCTTGTGATTAGAATTATCTAATTAGAGGCTTTTTGTCACCATTTCTGATAAATGAAGGAAATTGGGAGATGAAAGCCAGAATTACATATATATAGCATCTTGCCAAGAAACGCAAAGAAAATTTATCATTTTGTACTCTGTGACTCTGACATCAGTCAGGAGGAGGCACAAAGTGGCCTGCTATTTACAGTTCATCAATTTAGAATAATAATGCTGTTAGTCAGGAAATTGGAAGTTATATTGGAAGCCATTAGCATGTCCAATTGCAAATGGCAGTGAAGAGATGAAAGCCCTTAAACTTTTCCCATTATGTAGTTAAGAATGACCATAAGTGGTGCCGTCTTTGTGATGGAGTGATTGTTGATGTCTTTAACTTTGGTAGACTTCAGAAGTCTCCATTTTGTATTTCTGGAATGCATTGTGTCTGAATTTGGGTATTGCCTCCAGAAGTAGGAAGGGCTTATTAGTTCAAATTCGAGAGTTGGCACGCTTTTTCTGAAAAGATCCAGGTAATAAACATCAAAAGCCTTATCGTCTTTGTTGCAACTACCCAACTCTGCCATTGTAGTTTAAAAGTACCCACTGACAATTCTGGACAGACTGGCTGTGCTCTGATAAAAATTTACTTATGAATACGGGAATTTGAATTTTATAATTTTCATGTGTCCGGAAATATTCTTCTTTTGATTTTTTTTCATTCATTAAAAAATATACAAACCATTCTTGCTTTGCAGGCTGTGCAAAAAAAGGTGGCTGGTTGGATAGGGTCCACAGGTTATAGTTTGTGAACCCTTGTTGTAGTTGATTTTTTTCCTAGAAATCAGATTAGGAGAGTCATTTGAGGAATCGCTTGGAAGGATGTGGACTGGTTTGGAAGAATGAATGAAGTCATTTGTTAGGCGTGAAGGACAAAATAAGAGTAAAAGAAGAATAGAATGGGACGGATATCAACTGATGGTATACAGTTCTTATGCTTGCAACAGTTCTTCCTGACAATTCGACAGTATCTATGGTTGGCTCATGCTGACGTGGTGCAGTATTGGTTCTCATGTCAAGAAGGCTTGGAGTTCATCACAGACATTCCTTAGCATTTGACCAATGTGTAAAAAAGGCCAGGAAGGAGTAAGAGTTGGGGCCTGTTACTTTGGGTGCATCAGACCAGCACCTTAAAACCACAGTAAATGAGAGGTGGGACTATTAGCTGCAGGCATAGTCCTCTAGATAAAAATGCTGCTTGAAAAGTGGGACTGAAAAAAAAGGCTCATTTTTTATGAGGGAAATGTTTCTAAATTTAGCAAAATGAAGCAAGCAGTTCCTGAAAGATTGCTTTGATACTCTAGATTTTTATCTCAGGCCTCAAATTCTCTGATTTGTCTTCTTTCCTCCTAAAATAATGCCATGAGTGCTTTAGGGGTGCAATATGTGAGTGTATGAATTTTGAAGTCATATAGACAAACCATAGTTCAAAGCGAAGGTTTGTTAATATCTTGATGATATTGGAAAACTGTGACATGGGAATGATTAATAGCACTTCCCACATAGGATTGTTACGGGGATTCAGTGAGATGATGTTTGTGAAAAACGTTAACAGAGTCTCTGGCATGAAGTAAGTAGTTAATATTACTTCTTGCTTATTTTTGAGACTGTTGTTATTACTTTTGCTGCAATTAATGTTTTTGGAATTCACAAGTGTTGCAATTGACAGTGGATGGATGACTGGATAGTTCTGAGAGCTGAACAAGTTCGATTCTCTCAGCCATAATTCTCAAGGGGTGCCTATTTGGGATTTGAGAATGAGGGTTAACCTGACTATCCTCGAGTTCAGCGGTCGGCAAACTACAAACTGCAGCTGTGTTTTGTAAAATAAATTCTATTGGAACACAAGCACACCCGTCATGTTGCATATTATTTATGGCTGCTTTTGTGCTATAGTTGCAGAACTGAGTGGCTGTGAAAGAGACCTAGAATATTACTATTCCAGTAATATTGAAGATCTAGTAATATTGCATATTAAATATCTAGTAATGGTGAAAAGCCTAGAATATTACTATATCTGGTCTCTTACAGAAAAAGTTTGCTGGCCAGGCGCGGTGGCTCACGCCTGTAATCCCAGCACTTTGGGAGGCCGAGGCGGGCAAATCACGAGGTCAGGAGTTCGAGACCAGCCTAGCCAACATGGTGAAACCCCATCTCTACTAAAAATACAAAAATTAGCCGAGTGTGGTGGCAAGCACCTATAATCCCATCTACTCGGGAGGCTGAGGCAAGAGAATTGCTTGAACCCGGGAGGTGGAGGTTGCAGTGGGCCAAGATGATCGTGCCACTGCATTCCAGCCTGGGTGACAGGGCAAGACTCTGTCTCAAAACAAACGAACGAAACAAACAAAAAAAAACCTAAACAAACAAAAAAGGAAAATGTTTGTCACCTCCTGCCTATAGTAATATAGCTTAGGTTTTTAGTAGATGTTAGTCTGACTTGCATACAGAACTGTTTCAGAAATTTGGAAGTTTTTTTTTTTTTTTTTTGCCTTGCATTTCCCTTGAGCTGGAATATCCTCAGCATGTCTTCTAGGTAGCATCTTAGTTTTTCTGAGATCCTGCTTTTGGAAAGGACTTGGGAGGGGCAAAGATGAGTTTATTTTGGTGGTGTTGGTTGTTTCTGAGACAGGGTCTCGCTCTGTCGCCTAGGCTGGAGTGCAGTGGTGCCATTTCGGCTCACTGCAACCTCTGCCTGCAGGGTTCAAGCGATTCTCCCATCTCAGCCTCACAAGCAGCTGGGACTACAGACATTCCCCACCACGCCCAGCTAATTTTTGTGTTTTTAGTAGAGATAGGGTTTCACCATGTTGGCCAGGCTGGTCTCGAACTCCTGACCTCAGGTGATCCACCCACCTCAGCCTCCCAAAGTGCCAGGATTACAGGTGTGAGCCACTGCGACCAGCCAAAGATGAGTTTAGAGGTCAGTGCTGCAGGAAATGCATCAGGGAGATGAGTGGGTGTTGGATGTTCTGGGGTGACTGCGTCCTGTTCCTTAGGTTGCTGTTGTGTTAGTGGGTCTGGTGAACAGTGCTGATCCTGTCATTCTCATGACATTCCCTTTTGGTCACTAAGGAGAGACATGAACTTTTCAACTGTGGATAGCTTGCTTTTAGAATATTTGTCATGACCTTTTTTTTAGGATATTGTCATGATAGTAGTTCATTAATATTATAACTTTTCACTTCTCACTTTAAGACTAGCCTACTTTATTTCCATTTCACTGCATCACCTTGGAAAATGCAAACATCTTATTTATGTTTGAAATCTTAAACTTCATCTTTATAGGCCTATCAAAGAATGCCTTTGTGAATACCTGTAATTTTAGCATAGAGAACTATTTATTGAGGAAGCTGGAGGTGTGTATTAGCGTTCTCTTGTGGTCGTTGGAAGATGCATTGTTTCTCTGGATCTTAATTTCATCTGCTAGTAAAAAAGGGGGACATAATATCTGATTTTGACATGAAAACATCATAGAAGGTATGAAATGGAACACAAATATAAGTTATTGTTGACATAATAATAGCAACGTAATTTGATGATTGCTTTATATCTTTGGATTTCTTTTTCCTTGTACCAACATAGTAGGCAAAAATGGGAATGAGGTATGTTTCATATAGAATTGTACTGAAAAAATGCAGTAGTTTAATAGTATCTTATTGGAAATAATAAAACAATTTCTTTTCTATTAATTTTACTCAACTAAAGTATATTTCTGTTTTTCTTGGGGTGATGGTAGCTCATGAATTTTGGAGTTTGCCCAGAACTTCTATAATTATTGCACAAAGAGTAACACATGCTAGGCAGGTCGTCAATGCAGGAAAGA